TCCTTTGCAAAGTTAGAGAATTTATAGGAAAAGCCCTAAATTAATTATGTTCTTATTTCTGTAGCTTTGAGCGGACAATGAACATTTAGGGCTTTTCCTATAAATTCTCTAACTTTGCAAAGAAAGGTTGTGTAGATCTGAGAGATATCTCATTTTAATCAGAAATGTGTGGGCTACAATTATGCCTCATTAAGAAAGGTTTTGATTATCTTTTAGAGTTTCTCGAAAACTGGTTTCCCAGAAAACCGATCTCTGGAGGCCTAGACGCCCAAACCACTATGATATTCGGATTCAGCACACTCGATTACCTATTCTCCACTAGGTTTAGCGAAAAAAGCGATCGGACAGTTGGAGTCCTCGTCAACTAGTAGTATTTCACGTGAGATACCGACAAATATAAGCCGTCCGTGCTAAAGATTTTAGCTAAAAAACTTGAGATTTTGAAAAAAATTCCACACTCTGTAATGGAATAAAGAACCGTTACAAAATCGAGTGATAAAAGTATGACAACACATAGGATGAAAGAAAGATAAAAAGAAAAAGTAGATGAAAAGAATTAAAAATGTCAACAAACAAAAAAAAAAATAGGAAAGCATTTCTTCACAATAAGGTCGTCTATTTAAGTTCAGTTTTATTATTTGTCTTTTTCAAGCATAGACAATTGTGTGATTTTCTTTGAGTTCTTTCAAGCTTCTTCTAGATCTATTGAGTATTGTTCAATGAGTTCGTCCTTACTACTTGTTGATGATGATCGTAAATCCCAACTTGGTCTGCTGAATACAATCGATGAGTCAGGTAAAAAGTGTTTCTCTTTTTAATTAATAGCAATTTTTAGTTTTTGTCTGATTTTTCTTTAGTTGCCGTTGAATTTTGTCGTGTAACTATTGGCTTTTTAGCTAATGGTATTAATTCAAAATTAATAACAAATGCAGCAAGTACGTAGTTTTTGATGTATTTATGTTTAAAGTATTCAATGGTTGTTTTATAGATCGTCTCCAACTTGATCAAGATTTAGTACGAAATACAATAGAAAATTTGATGTGGTTATATACCGAATGTGCAAAATCAAAAGTAAATACTTCAATCAATGAAGAAATAAACTATGATCCGTTCTATCGATTCTCTTTCAACCTACGTTTCTTCGGGATCGAAATTTTTAAAATTAGACCTGTTTTTCTTAGTTTAATAAAGATTACAGAAAGATAAGTTTACAAAATCATATTAAATTTGTGTATACTTTTATTTTAGATATCTGTTGAATCACTAGAAGAATCGTTAAAGTTATTTGGATTTAATGATGTTATTCGTCAAACAATAGTCGAATGTTACACAACACAGTCATCTCAACTTCAGTCAGCATTAATTGATTTATCCTTATCATTACCAAAATATAAAGATTTACACTGGCGTTTTGATGTTCAAGTAAACATATTTACGGCTTACTTGTTTCACTCACTAATTTTTAAAATATTTTCTTATCTAGATTTATTCACGAAATATTCGTCATCGACAAGTTGAACCCTATTTTATTTTGAAATTATCAATAACAGATGTGTATGGTAAAGATCATTGTCATCTATTACAATGTGATCCGTTGACATTATTGCATATCGTTGAACAACTTGAAAATGCCATAAACAATTTAAGAAGCAATCATTGTAGAAGAATTATGCAAACATTTCGGTAAAAATTGATTTATAAATCAATAAATGTTTAAATTAATGTTTTTGATACTCTGTGATTTTTCTTCCATTGATAGATTTGTAGTCTTCGTAAACTGTTGGTATTTTATAATTATTTTCTTTTTGTACAAATTCATGTGTTAGGAACTTTGAACAATTATTTAGAGAAAAAAAAATAGAAGCTAATGTACTTTTCAGTTCAAATTTTTACCATTATCTGTGGATGAGAAATATGATGGAAAACGTATAATGATCACTTCAGTATACAGCTCATAATTCAATAATACAGAATAGTAGTATATTAATAACTCAGGACAAAAAAAAAGAAAATATATATATGTATAACGTTAGTAAGCATTGAGAATAGAACAAAAGAGCATGAGCGGGACAAAAAGAACGTGCTTCAAAATACTTACTACAAAACCTCATTAAGCGAATGTCTTCTATACAAAGATTGTGAAAACAAATAAAACTCTGATAGAATCCAATTCTTGTTGTTTTTCTAAAATAGATGCGAATGAATTGTTTTAGATAATAATACAGACCAACACTCAATTTGTGCATTTTTCGATTTTCTTAGTTGATTCATCCTGAGTCGCTAGTGTCATTTTGAGTTTACGTTGATTGTGGACTAGCTGGCCGTTTCAGCGTATCTTGACCAAACAGAGTAGTGCGAAAAACAAAGGTTACTGATAGGTCTTCTAACCAGCCATTCCTAGATGCGAGGTAGTCATGCAGATGAAAAATTCATCTATATATTAGATCATGTGGGGCTAGAACGTACTACAAGATTTTGCTCGTTTATTGTCTCTCGGCTTCATCAATTCGAAATCATTATTGACTGTATGTTTGCCTAATACATTGAACATACCACGCTTTTCCTCGACTATGTTTGTTTTTCGCACGTTCACCAGCAACATCAAAACAACTAATTTAACATGGAAAAAATACCATGTTAAAGTAATCTAGCTACCGCTTTCTGCTGATACGCAGTTCACTTGGATTCTTATTTAAGTTTCAATAAACTAATTTCTGTAGCCAAGAATTTTTTGAAAAAAATGTTCAATGAAATATCAGTGTTACAAAAAAGAAACAAAAGCTTTTTGTGTTCAAATTTGTTTGTATTCTGTTCTTAAAACGAAAGAAAATATGAAAAGACAGATAACACTAAGTTAACAACAATGTGAATTTATTGAACACAAGAGACAACATTTTGATGGTTTTTTGATTGGTCAATTCTCCATTCTTCTCACACGGTAACCTAACATCATTCTAGGACTAACGAGCGTTGCTAGTTAATCTCGATGAAAAATTTCTTTATTATTGACTCAAAACCCATGAATATGAACATTTCATTTGTACTACGGTCTTTACTATTTTTTAGATCAACTGCTTTACTGTCGTTGATTCTCGACAGTACAGTTTTCATTTTTTCTGAAAGCCGAGTGATTTAATTAATTTTTTGCTTAATTTATTATTCTATTCTGTCCTCTTACTCTCAAAACAAAAAATGCAACCGGGAGGTCAAAGTCTTGTTGATCGGTTGTTAGCAGCCAAAAATACCATTGCTGGTCAAGCTTTAGCAAAAACAGTGTGTAAAGCAACAACGGAAGAAATAATGGGACCAAAACGCAAACATCTTGATTGTAAGCTATTTATACTAGATAAATGATCAGAATTTTATATCCGCTGGCGAATTTTAGAAACTGCTAAAGAATTTATGTAATTGGACATAGTATTTAACGCATATTTCACTATTTGAACGCTTATTTATAACCTTTTTTACTTGCTCAATTTCATTGGAATTAGTTTGTTCTGTTTATTTTTTGTAGTTTTATTACAAGCCACGAATGAAATGAATGTATCTATTCCGCAGTTGGCAGATCTCTTGATTGAACGTACTCAGAACTCTAGCTGGGTAGTGTCATTCAAATCATTGGTAACCATTCATCATTTGATGTGCTTTGGAAATGAGGTTTGTTTTGTTTGTCAATTATCCTTATCGATAATCAATATATTTCTTTCTTATAGCGTTTCGAAGCATATATGGCATCGCATAATCATCGTTTGCAACCGGCTGTTTATCTTGATCGAATGGGAATGCCGGGTATATTGTTTAACTGTAGAAAAATAATTTCTTTGTTTATGATGTATATTTTCTTTAGGGCTCGATATGTCATCGTATATTAAGCGTTATGCAAGTTATTTAAATGAAAAACGCGAATCATATAAATTGATGGGTTATGATTTTTGCAAAGTTAAGCGAGGGTAAGTTCCTAGATAAATAATAGAAGCTCTCGGTTGTTTTCTCTTCAAACTAGCTTTTTATTCGGCCGAATTGATCTTTTTCTTGTTATTTTTAGAAAGGATGACGGTGTGCTTCGAGTAATGCCTACTGAAAAGGTAATCATTTTTCGATCTCTGGTTTATTAAATTATTGATTTTTTTTTGTTCTAGTTGTTGAAAGGATTGCCCATTCTCCAACGTCAATTAGACTCATTACTCGAATTTGATGTGAGTAATTCGAAGCCTATAATTCTTGAAGATAATAAAAGTTTTGACTTATTTCTCTATACTATTTTTAGGTAACGCCCAATGAATTAACAAACGGTGTTATTAATAGTTGTTTTTTTCTATTAATAAAAGACTTAATACGTCTTTTTGCGGCATTCAATGATGGAATGATTAACTTATTGGGTAAGAATAACCGTAATAGCTGTGGGGAATTGGATGAAAAAATTTGACCCGAAGCTAATGTCTTAAGAGAGAAATAATTGTGATAGATTTTCAATTTTAAGCGTTTCTAGATTTGCAGGCAAAAAAAAATGATACTGTAAACTTAGTGCAATGGTATACCGATAAAAACAGTTGAGAATCGAGCATCATTTTCTTAGAATATTGAACTAACTATTAACACAGTGTAACATCATATTTTCTTTTTCTCATTTAGAAAAATATTTTGATATGAATAAAAAACAGTGTCGCGAAGCATTAGATATTTATAAAAAATTTCTCGAACGAACGGATAAAGTGTCAAATTTTTTAAAAGTGGCTGAGGTAAGTGACATACAGACAGTTTATTAAGATTCGTAATAAAACAGACTGAAATGGACAAGGTTTCCTTTTTTCTAAAAATAAATAACAATTTCTATGTTAGCGATACAGTCATTTATTCGATCGTATTTATGGCCAGGTAAAATTTCAAACTTGACTTATTCACACGCAAATGATTTCCTAAGTTCTGTTTAAGCTCTTATCGTGCTTTTTTGTTTTAATCAAATTTTATAATTTAAAAAATTTTCTTTTACTAACATCAAATTGTGTTGTGTTAGTCATGGACGCTTACCACCAATGATATCAATTCTCTTTCATAATCTTATCTAATGTATGCAGTTGCTGAAAATGAATTTATAATATCTAGTACTAAACATCTCAAAATAAATTAGTTTTGTTTGATTTTTCTAGCAGTTAAAACATTTGGCAATGAAATTTTAAGGGAAAAAGGTCGAATATGTTGTACGAGTAAAACCAGATAATGAGGCGTGTTTCGCATGAGAACGAAATGAAAATCAGCCTTTTTGAGGCTTTTAAGATGATGTTTATTGTATTATGGTGCGCGGTTTATTTCTCCAAGAATTTTTATTTTTATACTTACATTAACAGACTAGTATGTGTGTGTGCGTGTACGCGTGCTTTTTTTTTATCAATCATCTATTTACATATATCAAATCTGTTGTTCAAACATAATGCAAAGTCCTTTACTCGCAATAAGAATTTATTATAACTGCTTTATCTGGCAATTAACATTTAATACATGGGAGTTGTACTAATTGAAAAATTCGAAAATGACAGATCCACACGTTGTCAGTATGACTAACGCAGAAAAG